AGTTTCTAGATGCTTTACGGCAGCTGCTTTAAATGACAGCGTTTCTCCAGTTACCTTTTCTTGGTCTTTTTTTCTCCTTTGTTTCTCCGATAGTATCTTGAAATTTTTAAATGAAATTTACTGATTTTGTGTTTGTGGTGTGTGAGTGTGCCCCAGCGTGCGTAAGCGGTCAGAGAACAACTTGGGAATTGGTTCTCTCTGTCTACCACGTGGGTCTTGGTATCCAACTTGGGTCTTCAGACTTGGAGACAAGCACCCTCTGGACTGAGCCGTTCTCCAGTGGTGTCTTCGTTCCATCCAGGTATGTTTCTCTCTGCTCTAGGGGCTGTCTACGCTGAGGATTTTGCAGATATATTTGCAGAAGTGCTGGAAATTACACAAAGAGTGCAGGATTGCACTGTGACTGGGGTGGTGATTTATTTTGGTAGTTTCTTTATTTTTCAGCCAGCAGAGTAGCTGTGGGCTTCTCTTCTCCTGCCCGGCCTTTGCTCTGTTGCCTGTGAAGGAAGAAGGCAGGCTGTGGTTTCCTCTGTTTCCTGTTCTTCCCATTCCCTGAGAGTTCCTGACACCAGACTGCACATCCTCTGCCTGGTGCCCTTGGTTAGACCATTGGAGTCGTCCTTCAAGAATCCCAGCCGCTCGCCTGCTCTACAGGCTTTCCCACAACCCTGACCCGCAAGGAGCCTTCTCAGGTGTGTTAGACCAGCTTTGATCCTGGCTGCTCTGGGCCACCTCTGATCGCGTCTGGCAGCCTTCCCTCCTAAGCTGTGGTTTAGGTTACAAACGTGTCCAGTTTTGCCGAAGAGGGCCTTTGCATTTCGATTTCTTTCTCCTTGATTTTGGGTGATTTTAGATCAGAACATGAGTAATTTTATTCTACCGCCTTTCAACTATCGAGTGTTGGGGATATTTGTGATCGAGTATTCTCTCAGATCAGACGTCACCCAGAACTTTTCCAAATAGAGTTGATGCCAGCCTAACAACAGAAAGGGAAGAACCTGGGAGAATACACTAAAATTGGAGAGTTAAAAACATGTGTGTCCATGCTGAGTGGCAGCGGGGGTCCTTCCGTCCCTTCTTCACTCCGATGGGGGTGTGTTTCTGTCAGGGAGGAGTAGTAGACTTCCCTGTCAGTGAGAAGCACCTGAGACAACAGCCTGAGAGAAGGGTTTGTTTTGGCTCGTAGTCCCCGAGTTTCAGTTCATTGTGGCAGAAGGCATGTGCGGGAGGAGGGGGGCTCCGATGGCAGAGGCCAGAAGCATACAGGGGATGCCTGCAGTAGTACCAGAGGTGTCCCTGTCTGTCCTCCCAGACACTTTTTGGTACAGTGACGGTGACACTCACGGTTATCATGGGACCAAGGAGATGGTTCAGGTGATAATGTGTTTGCTGTACAAACACAAGGACCCGAGCTTGATCCCCAGAAGCTATGTAAAAAAAGCCAGGCATGGTGGTTTGTACTTTAAATCCAAACCCTGGGGAAGTGGAAAAGATGATGGATCCCTGGGATTTGCTGGTCAGCCAGCTTAGCCTATTCTGTGAGTCCGAGGCCAATGAGAGACCCTTATTTAAAAAATAAGGCAAGTGGCACCCGAAGAATACATTTAAGGTTGGCCCATGGGTTACTTACACATATGTGCGTATGCACCTGCATACACCCGGACCTACACACGCACAGGTGTGCGTACACACACTCGAGAAAAAGAAGTAACTATCACAAGTTCACCTCTTATCAATTATTATGCAGGCTACAACATTGCACCTTTGGCTCCCAAAAGGCTCAATTCTGTCTTACAATGTCTTAACATGCTTTTAGTCTCTCTCACCTCCCCCCAGAATCTCCACGGTTGCCGCACTGTTCAGGTCCAGATTATCCTCCAAACCTCCGTGCGCATGTGGGTCCCTGCAAAATCAAAAACAAGCCACATGCTTCCAGATTTGATGGCACAGACTAAACATTCCCGTTTCAGTAGACAGCGTCGGGGAATGGAGAGGACGGAACCAAAGCGAGACTGAAACTTCTTAGCGAAAACACGAGGTACAAGGTGTCATGATGTCAACCCAGCACCCTTGGGCCTATGACACTGTCCTCTCTGTTGGCCGTCTCTGCACACTGCCTGCTGCCTTCTTCAGCAGACATCCCATCTTCCTGCGTCTTTGGCTTCACCATCACGGTTTCATACATCACCCTCCTGGAGAAATCACTTGGGTTTTTCCTGGGAATCCCTTGCCTGTAGGAATTCCATGCCTGTCTGTCTAGTCACCTAGGCCTTCCTTTGTACTTTAGGCTTAAGCCTCCATAATCCAATAGTTCTTGTATCCTGCATGCCTGCAAAGCCAGCATGGTGGGTCATGCTAGATTTCCTACCTCCTCAAGCGATAGCTGGAGCACCTCGAGTCATGGCTGAAGTGGCCCGTGAGTGCCTTGATGATTGAAAACAGAGAAGATTTCCTAGGTACCGGGCGCAGGCAGTGTGTCCTGGAGATGGCTTCTTGGGACAGAGTCTTTCAAATAAGTGAAAACCTTCACACTCTGGAGCCAGTTCCTGAGGTGCTCTCATGGCATCTTTCTAGTTGTCCTGATGTCCCTCATAATGGCGCTAACCTAGTGTTTCTCAGTCTGTGGGTCGTGATCCCTTGGGGGATCAAACGGCCTTTTCACAGCGGTCATGAATCAGATAGCCTGCATATCAGCTATTTGCGTTACCGTCCATAATGGCAGCAAAATCATAGTTATGAAGTAGCAATGGAAATAACTTTATGGTTGGTGTCTCCACACCATGAGGAACTATTTTTTTAGAGGGTCCCAGCATTAGGAAGGTTGAGAACCACTGCTCCGATCTCTTTAGAGGCCTCACTGTTTATGGCTTCTGTTCTGTTACTTTTCTCATTGCTCTGGCAACCCTGACAAAAGCATCTTAAGGAAAGGGTTTGTTACCGCTTGACACAGTTCGTGGTGGTGGAGAAAGCTGGGTGGCAGGACTGAGGGGCAGTCTTCTTAAGTGTCGGGCTCTTCCTGCTCTGGATTTGCTCCCAGACCTCACTGTGCATCTGGCCGAAGAGCCAAACTTAGCCACAGCCTGGATACTGGGCTGCCCTGAGAATTCATTCATTCATTCATTAATGAAATTAATTCATCCTTCACCTTTAAATTCAACCTCTGTAAAGTCTCAGGACGTGGACAAAATGTGCACAGCTTCCGTACCAATGGGTAACACAAATGGCCTCGGTTTGGTTCCCATGAGACATTGTTTCTGCCTGGAACTGGACGAGATAGATGTCTTTGCTGTTGGCGTTCCTCTCGGCAGCCTGGTCTCCTGAGGTCTCAGAATCATCCATACAGCTGCACTTACAGAATTCTAGGATTTCTCTGGCTGGCTTCTCCAAACTTTGCTGAATTCTTCCTGCAAATTAGTTCTGCGAGCTTCCATACCACGTGATCAGATACAGGCACAGCGCCAGCCACACCTCAGTGTCAGTTTTCTGCGATTGTCAGCTCTCTGTGCTGTGACAAAACGTGACAGAATGCCCTACAGAAGAAAGGATTTCCTTCCCTTGCGCTTGCAGAAGTTTCTCTAGTTGTCATGGCAAAGAGGGCGTGGCCCAGCACAGCAACTCCCATCATGGTGATGGCAGCCACGAAGGTGTGGGAGAGAACGTGCCTACAGTTGGCAGCTTTCCCTTTTCTTCCTTGTATTCTATCTGGATTGCCAGCCTATGGAAAGGTGCTGCCCACATTTAGGGTGGGTCGTCTACCCCTGGTTAGTGCTTTCTGGAAACGTCCTGGCAGATATACCTAGAAGTGAGCTTTACTGATCACATAGGTGCGTCTTAAATTGACAGTGACGATGAACTGTCTGTCACCAATAGGAAGTCATGGGTAGGTAAGACAGAACATGGTAGCATCCTGTCTTCTCATTTGTCCTGGAGAAGTCCCGAGCCAGGATGCCCCCAGGCTAAGGAAGAAGAAGGCACACACCTGTCCTCTGTCAGCTGCAGGAGTCAGATGGGGCAAAGCTCAGCCTTCCTCTTCCCATAGTTAGGGCCATCTAAGCTCCCCAAAGTCCCTGGGGCCCGAATGACCCTACTGTGTCCAGTTCCTCCACCTCCTGGAAAATTGCCGTCTTTGCAGCAAGGGATACTAACTGGGATAAATGTTAGCAATAATGTTTCTATGCCCAGGGAAAACACTGGTGTGTCCAAGAGAAATAATTCCCTGTGGGATGCCTGGAGAACAAAGCCAAGAGAACCAGATCTGAGCTTTTAGCATATCGTCTTTCAGATTCTCATCATACCACCCGAATGGGAGGTGTTGTATCCCATCTTACAGAGGAGGAAAGTAGAGTCCAGGAGAGGCCTGAGATACAGAGGGATGTGTTTTAGTGATGTCTGGCTCCACAGTTTGGATGGATCAGCTCTCTTTTTCTCCTTCTTTGCCATTTATTTTCCCATGGCGACAACACACCACCATCTTCAAATAGTTGTCCCTGGGTGACCCCACCGAACACTTGCTCTGTGTCTTGCTTCCCAAACCTGGTTCCATTTTAAGATTTTTTTTTAAGCTCTAGATAACTGGAGCTGCAAACCCACGAGCCACATGCTAAGTGTGTATGACCCCATGTCTCAGCACTCCAGTTTCTTGGGGTTCAGTTCCTCTTGCGACAGCGATTTCCAGCGGTTACTCTGGTGCCAAGAACAGACTCTGAGAGCAGAGTTCCTTGGTTTGACTCGTGGCTCAGTCACTTATTACCTGTGAGACTGGCTAATCAGTGACTTCTTTAAGATTTAGAGGAACGGGGAAACCTTAATCATGGAGGACAGTGTCTGCCATATCTCATATACTTGGAAAGTACCAGATATGAAGAACCATTCATTATTATGCGCATGAATTATGTGGTCGGGCCTTACAAAGGGCCCTTCCAAGGCCAAGGTATAAATGAAGGGAGAGTAGCTGACTGTTGATGCTTCTATCATAACTTGTGCCCTTTGCTTCCTTCCAGGAGCTTGGGCCCCTGCCACAGCCCAGCAGAGGCTGTAGAGATCAACCATCAGGAAGCCTGGTTCCCAGCCCCGGGGTCCATCCCTGGCTGTGGGGAGTGGAGGCTCCCACGAGGTAGCAGTGGCCCGAAGTGGTCCCCTCCCCATAGTGAGCCATGGGTCAGAAGCTCTCGGGGAGCCTCAAGTCTGTGGAGGTGCGAGAGCCAGCTCTTCGGCCTGCCAAGCGGGAGCTTCGAGGCTCAGAGCCCGGGCGGCCAGCGCGGCTAGACCAGCTGCTGGACATGCCTGCGGCAGGGCTGGCTGTGCAGCTGAGACATGCCTGGAACCCCGAGGACCGCTCGCTTAATGTCTTCGTCAAGGATGATGACCGCCTCACCTTCCACCGCCACCCTGTGGCCCAAAGCACGGATGGCATCCGCGGCAAGGTGGGCCATGCCCGGGGCCTGCACGCATGGCAGATCCACTGGCCGGCTAGGCAGCGGGGTACCCATGCTGTGGTGGGCGTGGCCACATCCCGTGCCCCTTTGCACTCCGTGGGTTACACCGCACTGGTGGGCAGCGACTCCGAGTCGTGGGGCTGGGACTTGGGCCGCAGCCGCCTCTACCACGATGGCAAGAACCGACCTGGGGTGGCATACCCTGCTTTCTTGGGGCCGGATGAGGCCTTCGCTCTGCCAGATTCCTTATTGGTCGTGCTGGACATGGACGAGGGCACACTCAGCTTCATCGTGGACGGCCAGTACCTGGGCGTGGCCTTCCGTGGCCTCAAGGGCAAGAAACTGTACCCGGTGGTGAGTGCCGTGTGGGGCCACTGCGAAGTCACCATGCGCTACATCAATGGCCTTGACCGTAAGTGTGCTGGCCTAGGTGGCAAGGGGTGCAGAGGCCTCTTGTCCCAGAAGAGTTGGGGAACGGGTAAGCAGTGCAGGGAGAGCTGCAGTTGGGGAACCCTGCCGTTTTTAGCAGTGATCAGCATGGTTTTGAATTTTGACTTTGTCGAAGGCTTTGCAGTTTACAGGCTCTACCTCAGTTTACCCATCTTTAAATGGCACAGTGGTCATGATTAAACTCAGGGCACTCAGGAGGGTCACATGGCCATATTCCAACTGGGGGGGGTGTCACATGGCCATACTCTAGCTCAGGGCACTCAGGAGGTCACCTAGAATCATATGTGTGCTTATAATAGTAAATGCACTTGATAAGGGCTGTCTGTGAGTGCTAAAGAGATTTATGGAATGACCCAACCTAGTCCCGGGCTGGAGAGCGTCACCACTGCCCGGTCCCTGGGTGGGAGTCGAGCTGTCAGATAAGAAATAGTGTTAGCAACTGTTACTTATTGCCGCCTCCTGGATGCAGCTTTGAACACCCAGATCCCAGCCCCTTCTGGCAGCTGTCAAAGGAGGTAAAATGCTCTCCCCTCCAGCGGATTGTGGCCGTGTGGAAATGAAGCCCTGGACTATGGAATTGGCCCGTTTTCCAGACAACCAGAAATCTAGATCCTGGCAACTGCTAACGATCTGGTTGAAGTGAAGCTCCTCTGTGGGCTGTAGGTCTCACCCTAGCGGCACCAAGGCCTCCTTTATTCACAATGCATAACCTGGCAGGCAGTTGAAAAGTTAATTAATGCCGGGTGGCGGTGGGCAGCAGTGCAGGCCCTTACTTAATCCTAGCACTCGGGAGGAAGGGTAACCTCTAGGAAAAGTAAACATGGCTATGTGGCCCATCTTGAATCCCAGGGCTTGCTCACACATATCGGCTATTGTGGTTTAAACATGAAGTGTCCCCCACAGGCTCATATGTTTGAACCATCATCCCCTTCAGGAAGTGGGAGGAAGTTGATCATAGGGTGGTGGGGGGAGGGGATCTTGAAGGATTTCTTTTTTTTTTTTTTTGGAAACAGTGTTTCCCTGTATAGCTGTGCTGTCCTGGAACTCACTCTGTAGACCATGCTGGGCTTGAACTCACAGAGATCCTCCTGCCTCTGCCTCTTAAGGGCTGGCATTAAAGGCGTGTGCCACAACCACTAGGCATATCTTGAGTGTTTTTTTTTTTTTTTTTGATTTTTCGAGACAGGGTTTCTCCGTGGCTTTTGGTTCCTGTCCTGGAACTAGCTCTTGTAGACCAGGCTGGCCTCAAACTCACAGAGATCCTCCTGCCTCTGCCTCCCGAGTGCTGGGATTAAAGGTGTGCGCCACCACCGCCCGGCAGATCTTGAGTTTTTATAACCTGGCTTCACTTTATGTCAGCTCTCTGTTTCCTGACTGCAGATGTCTTGGAACCAGCTGCCTCCTGCTCTTGCCGCTTGCTATACTTTCCTTCTCATGGGGACCACATAATTTGTGAGGCCTAAGCCAAGATGAATTTGCCCTGAAGTTCCTTCTTGTCAGGGGTTAGGTCACAGCAGTGAGAAAAGTGACAGTGTGCTGGTCTCCCAGCAACCATCTGTAGATGTCTTCCCTACCAAATCTTACAGAAATGAGCACTTGCAGCCCCAATTCCAGGGTTCATTCTAAATGAGAGGTTCAGTTGCCAGCCAGTGTGGCCGATTTTTCTTTTTTTGAAAGTCAGAAAAAAAAACAAGAAAACAAAAAACCTAAAGCACAGAGCTCCGAACCATGAGCAGGGTCCTCCTAGGTCTGTTGGCCTCTGAGATCAACCATTTTCCCATGTTCCCCTCTTCAATTGACAGCCCAAGAGTAACATTCCAGAAAAGGAACCACGGGCAAGGTTTGACTCGTGTGTTTGCTTGAGCAAAATGTGGGCTGCTGGTTTGAGGGTGGCAGGCCAACACAAAAGTGGCCGGAGCTCCTAACTCCGGGATAATTGGCAGCATTTTTGCTGGCATCTGTTTCTGTGGTTGTTGGACTAAGGTTAACGGTGGAATGATGCTCCGTTTTCTGTTGACCTGTAAAGCCTTGGAGCAGATGAGTCTGCTCCGAGCAAGGTGATCATCGTGGTGCTTTGTAGGAAGGGTCCGGAATCCTCTTAGGTAGACATGCCGATGCAAACCCTAGGGATGTGGAGAGAATGGCACCAGTGAGCTCTCTGGTCCAGCTGGGAAGTTTACTGCTGGAATTAATTTGTGCTTGTGCTGGCGCTCTGGAGGGTCTGTCCCGGTCCTCTGGACATCCCCAGCACAGTGGTTCTGTCTCTAGTGCGACACTCAAACTCCCTAACATCCACTCTATTCATCTGTAAAATGGGACATGGGATCCCTTTCTTAGTTTGAGTGTTGGCACCAAATGTCTGAAATTGACAGCAGGGGGAGCTATGAAAGCCTAAAAAAGAATATTTCCTTTCGGTTATTGACCACTCCGGCCTATTGGTTGGTATTCAACAACAAAACTAAGTCACTAACATATTGTCCCTGTGGCTCCCTTGTGGCTGTTAGAGTCGGGGATCTCCTGCGTTACTGAAGGGGGCTGGGTGGGAAAGACAGTTGTGTCTGACGCATTTTGACCTCATGGGTCTTTTGGATGGTTTTATCTCCTTCTCCAGTGGCTGGGGTTTTTCAGGTCAGCAGAATCCGGAACAGGATCCAGGGAGGTGAAGGCGAGTACAGGGTAGGGGCTGTGATAATGGAGCAGGCTGTCATGATGCGAGCCTGTAGCATCTCCTATGTGATGATCAGGTGAGTTCCTGGCATTGTGCTAGACTGCCCTCCAGACAAGACTGGCATCCTCTACCTTGGGTAGAGGTATGATGGCAGAGAGGGAAGCTTATCTTGGGATAAGCCTTGATTATGTGGTAGTCTGTGCTACAGTGGGGTCCAAGGACTGGGAGGTGATTGGGAAAGAGCTATGTTGTATATATAGAGGGTGATCTGGGCCAGATTTCACCACGCATTCCCATGGAGGGAAATGGTTTGACCCCAGAGTCCCTTGGTTGGGAAGGTAGTCCCACGTGAAGATCTATGGGTTGAAAGAATTCTGATCCTTCATTGATTGTGGATGTGGTAACTTGACTGGGGTATCAGGATTGGAATGAAAGCATAACTGGGAATAAAAGGGCTGCCCCTTGGGGTTACTCCTTCCTCAAAGCCTCAGTGTCCCCTCTTCAGTTTGGGGTGATCAGACACACCACCACTAAGCAGATACCTAGTAGTTGGAGTCCATTGCTGCAATTAACCAGCTGAGCCGAGGAGGTTCTGGGGGTCACAGATGGAATACAGAGTAGCCTCTGTAAAGCATTTTCCTCTAATGCAGTGGGAGTTGTTAATGGATAACTCCTTTTCAATTTATGATTTTTATGACTGTAAAAGCAAGCCTTAAAAGGTCTTACCACACTGAACCCTGAAGCACATGTTGGACGGGACAAGAGCTCCTGGCAGTGCAATTTCCTCTTGCAAATGCACGATGCCCTGGAACCTCTCATGGGTAGAATTGTTCTTTCACTACACCGCAGAATGATATGGCTTAGCATCTTGGGTTTTCCTGCAAAGACCTGGAGGACGCTCAAAGGTCTGTAACTGAGACAGCTGAGGCGTGTGTAGCTGAGGTGTACACAGACCAAGCCAGGCACATGACTAGGCTGTGTCAGTTGTCCAGACCCAACCTAGTAATACCAATAATACTACTAGCTAGACGTATCTCATCCTGCTGGGCTCTTTTCTAAGCCCTTCATAAAAGTAATCATTCAAGTACTCTTTAAGTGAATATATGGATAATCATCTTTGATTCACCCTGAAGGAATTGATGCTCAATGAAGTTGAGCAAGTTGCTCAAAACCACACAGCTCATAGCCGAGGAACCTGGATTCAGGCTGAGGCAAATGGTGTGAGACTCTTGCGGGAACCCTAGCAGACAAGGCAGGGGGAGCCAACAACTCAGGAGGGTTGGCTCTACCTGATTTTGTGGCCCTCTGTGGTAAACTTAGCTGAGATCCTGTCGTGCTGTCTCTGTTGCTTTTTCTACTTCCGTTGCTTCCTTCCTGGCCCTCAAAGAGCTCTGCAGAGTGCGCTGAAAGCGAGGCAGGGTGCAGGGGCCGACTCTGCTGCTCAGAATCAGCTACGCTTTATCCCTGAGCAGGGGAAGATGCCTCATCTACTCTCACGCTCACCCCTGGGCTGTCCTGGCCTTGTCTGGACTTGTTCCCTGGCTTGAAGTTTCCTCTTTCCAAATTCTGGTGCCTGAGTGCTAACAGAAGGGTGTTGTCTTGGAGTTCCTGCGTGGTGAGTGCGACATGAGAGACACGGGTGGAGGCAAGGAGCCCCAGATGGAGGCCAACATCCTTGGGGGCCTCAGCAGCTTTGATACAGGGTGACTAATGGTTCTCTTTGTCAGGGAAACCCTTGGGCTGTACCGTAGGCTAAAGATTTTACTCGGGTGTTGGGTTTGTGCTGTTTTGGGCCTGTTGTGCACAGAGGGCCCATTGATGCTCAGGACTGACTTTCGGTTGAAGAGCAGAAGCACAGGTATAGTGTCCTGGGACCAGCTGGCCGTGAAGGCCTGTCTATTTGTGCCAAGCAGAAGAAGCTATATTTCTAGTCGTCATTCCTAGATGGTTTAATCGATTTGCCAACAAGTATTTATGGGCACAGCAGTGCAGCAGAGGAGGCTGGCAGCCAGCCAGCGCTTCCGGTATTGATGGGGACCAGAGAGGTTTTCCACAGGATGACTGCAAGGGCACCCTCCCCTTGTCAGACTGTGTTCCTGCTCTGTGTGGAGCCCACCACCCTCCTGCTCAACACTTGGGAGGCTTGTGTGGGCAGCGAGGTCCTCCCCACTTCCCTGATGACAGAATGTGACTCCTCCACCAAGGTCCGTGTCTGAGACCCTCATCTTCTCTGTTTGTCACCCCAGCTCCCTACAGACCAGAGAGACCCTGTCCCCAGGCCCCACTCAGTGGGG